TAACTGAGAGCGTATTTATAAACAAGAATTAACTGCATTTGTGTCGCCGTCTTGTGATGATACTTTTTTCTCTAAATTCGAAATTGCCTCACTTACTAAAAGTGATACAACTAATTGTAAGTAGCAAAGAAAATTGGTAAAGCAGATTTATATAATTAACCGCACGTTTTGCTCTATTTTACGATTACATATTACTAAATATCTGCTTAGAAATGCTTTTCTGTTTATCCGTTGTGCAAAATTTTATTTTATTTTTTTTAAATTCATAAATTTTAAATTGTTTTACAGTAGCGTTAATTAATTAAATAAATTAATTGAACAAAAAGCAAACTAGGTACTACTAGGTACATTTTATAAAGGAATAACTCTAAAAGTCACAATTACCGATACCTACGATGGCCCCTAACAAGCAATTTTGGATAGACGAAAATGAAAGCGGTTCAGGTGAATTAGATAATAGAGCCGTTGCTCCAATGCCAGGAGTTATTGATAGGGTATTANGTAGCACGATGCTACATTTTAGGATTACGTATATCGAATTATTTTATTAGGTTAGATTGTCTTTATTTAAAATTTAATCCAATAGTAATCACTGCTCTGATCAAACAAGATTCCCGTCAAGATCTGATGAACTCTGACCATTAGGCGAATGAATGATGGAGTCATCGCACTTGCATATCAAAAATAATCAATTAATTAATTAAAATAAATTAGGGTTACCTAACCTAACCCTAAACTAACCTCAAAGAAGTATATAACATTAAAAAGAACAAACAAAGTATGAATAAGAAATAAATACTCAAAAATTGTCTTAAACCCGCTCCAATTTCCAATTTCCAAACAATATTTCAGATGCGTATCTAATATTTTGTAAAATGAAGTATTTCTAAAAATTTTAAAGACTATAGAAAGACTTATGTTTTAAAAATTGCAACCCTAATGAAAATAACTTCTTACATGCTTGCATAAGATAGTAAATCGAGGGAATTGATCTTATTTAATACATAGCACTTGTTAATTCTTTGGTTAAAAATATTGGTTACGTCACTGGTAAAAACATACACATTTTGTTGGCAGACAATTAACTCATTAACTTTTGCATATCATTTTAAAATCGTAATTTTTTTGCAAATAACTTGCACAGTTGTTAATTTATGTATTAGGCTAATGAACCTTAGAAGTTCTAACAAGTCTAATTAAGCCGTCTAGAAAATGCTGTCTATATAACATTATGTAAGTAATTTGAGCATACAAACTATTTACAATTTGAAAATAATAAAAATTCCTTCTGTACTTCTTCATTTTTGGAAAAAATTCAAACAAAAGAAAAAATTAAACATACGTTAGAATTATTTTAACTTTACAAACACATTTAAAAAAAGTGAAAAATCCATGCAATTTTATGAAAGATTTTTGGAAACACATATAGCTGCATACGTACATAAGTATTACCCTAAATTAAGGAAATTTAAGCCTTTAGGCTTTAACACAATAGTTTTCACGCCTATAGCAAAAGTAAAGATTGGGAAAGATTTAAAATTGCAAACAGATTGCAAAACTGCACAGAATCGTTGCAATATCCTTACAAATATTTGAAACAGTAATGTTTTCAAGCATTGTGAAAAAAATTTTTAAGGAGAGGCCTATCCTACCTGAGCCAGTATGATAGATATCCTTACAAAATCATTATTGATTGTCTTACAAAACTTCCATTTGAAATAATTCCTTAAAACGTGTCAAATATAATACCTAACTAAAACAAAAAAAAATACAAAAAAAAACATTTATTTATCGACTGTAGCAACAATAATTCATAATTTGTATTTTCGGAATCAAAATAGTAAAACATTAATAAAGTTTACTTGACATATGTATAGTACAGGGGTCGGCACCCTGCGGCTCTTTGGATGTGAAGCTGCGGCTCTTTAGTTCCATACGAAAATATTANATATTCATATTGAAAATCTATAGAAATTGACTAAGGATTATCGAAATTTATTATTGTTTTAAGTAAGTATCGAAGATTAAGGATAATTCAATCGTTTTAACGTGAAATGTATATTATTGGAGTTGAAAGTAAATTAATCTAACTTATAAATCCGCTGCATCACTAACAAGGAAAGATGCTGGAAAATCTTTGTTTTATTCTGACTTAATGTACAAAAGCAACGTTTTCATTTACGAGATAAAACCATATTTGTTTGACATTAGACTTAGTCTATGGGTCACTTACTTACATATGCTCGTGTATAATTGAATGCGTGGTTATTTTGATAATTCTTAGTAATCGATAAAATTTGTGTTAACCCTGAAGCTGAAAAATAAAATAGTGATGGTACAATATGTACTGATACAGTTAATAACGTTGATTTTAAATTAAACATTATTATACGATTTGATATTTGTTTACAAAAAATATATATGAATACGTTTACTCATACTGATTTAAACTAGTTCTAAACTGGATACTAAAGGCGAATTTTGTCATGTCAAATGGTATAGTATAGTGGTGTAAACAAAGAATGCGATTCACCCTGGGCGGCGGTACTCAAGGGTGACAGTTGCCTTCCATCCCGAGCTGGAGCAACAATAAAGAGGCCACTAACGATGGTTACGCCACTGATTAGCCAATGAATACATATTTTGTCACTATAAAATCTCATAGTGAAAGTTTATTTGAAATTAATTTCGTAATAATTTTAAACTAAAATAAATTATAGTTGAGGCAGGTAAGATAGGTAGATATTTATTTCACGATCAGTAATATTAAGAGTCTAAAAATGTATTTACTGTATTTTAGATGACTACATATTTGCATTTCTTCTTTTTGGAATTCTTAAAAACGTAGTCTGGTGACGTGTATGGACTGTAATTGTCTACTGTAATTGCAATCAAAAATAAAGCTCTTGTTTTTCCATTAAACAATATTTATGCTGTACAGGCGCAAGATTTGAATGCTAATGCTGGTAGATGGTAATGGCGGGTTTTACTAAATTTTACTCAATGTACTATTTATAGTGTCAGGAAAAATACGATAAACTACCGTAGTTTATAAACACTGAAATATGCAAATTTCAGACCACAAAATAAACATATGCAGGGCAATTTCTAGCTTTGTGGTTTGATAAAAAAATTGATCAGGACCGGCTTTAACAACCAACAATAACTAAACAAAACTAAAATATTTCAATTTGAATGTGTTTTTCGACTGCACTAATTAAGCATTAAATTTAAAAATATTTTACTTTCGATAAATAACTTGGTGATGGCTGTCTGTCTGCCTGTCACAGTTGAATTTCTTAGCAGTTACTAATACGTCTGTCTTCTTGGCACAGTCGTGGAATGTTATTAACTGTTTTTATTCCAAGTGAAAAAAAGGATTATATTTAAACAGTTTTAAAGTATTCCAAAATGGTTAGTCGAAATTTAAAAGCGTGAAGTAGCAGGCTCGTATGGGACTACGAAAGAATCTTGCTTACACATTCGTACGTTAGCTTTCTGTTTTTTAATTTTTAAAAAATACTTTTTGATTTATACTTTACCTGTTTTCCATTAGTTTCAATACAAAACAGATATATTGGTTTAGTACCAACGTGTTCTTTAGATCACAATGCAGATGCTATAAGTGCAGAACAAACGTGTATTTGTAAAAAGATACTAACTTTTCTTTTTTCTTACATTCCTGTAAACAAAAGAAAGGACATAACAAGAGAACACTCACTTCGTTCGTGTTGTCTCTTGTTACCGTGACCTTATCGTCTTCTTTAGATTTTCATAATATACAATTGACTGTCACAGAAAAAAATCTTATGATAATAAAATAGTTTCACATTTGCCTGGTCTGCCTCTGCCTATGAGTAAGACGACTTTGTTATCAAAAAAATAAAATATCTGCCATTCATAATTCCGACAAAAAAAAAAGAAATACAAATTGACAATTTTTTGTTGCTTTGTATAACAAGCGATATGGTAGTTCGAAATAAAAATGCAGCAGATTAGAAAAAAAATTAATCTTTTTTAATTGGAATTGGGTGGGTGAATGTCGCACCACCGATCCGATAATTTTTCTATTGTCTAACCACTCGATTCCACATTATGAATTTTATAACTAAATTAAAACTTTCTTTCAATAAAAGCATATTATAAATACAAACTATTTTGAAACAATCGAAGAGTACCTTTTCAGACTAATTCATTGTTCTATTTACCTACTCTGAATCTATATTAATATCTAGTTTTTGATTATTTGCCAAATTTCAAGAAAATTAATGATCCATAACAACAGGCGATAATTCTCTGGCACAGAATGAATTTCATTCATCCTCATAATTTTATACATTTTTAAATTCAACAATGCTTTAGTTAATGTATATGTCACATAATAGGTAAAAAAATTCCCCCGAGGCAAAGCTCGATATTCAGAAAGCAGAACAAATAAAATTAAATTTAGATAGGTATTGACTAATTATTCAATTCAAAGAATACTTCTATTTAAAATAAATCCTTTTGATTTGAATAATTTGTAAAAATAAAATTCCAACAGAAATAAATTTACTA